CATCCCCATCACCAACAACACCCCGCCTGCACTCCTGAAACACCCAGCAACCTCGAGCTAAACGAAGGCCACTCTAACTTCTCCGAGGGCCACTACGGCGTTCACAGTAAGTCGGGCTCCAAACTCAGCGACATCCTCATGGAAGACACCTTATCACCGGTGAGGGGGGGCGACCCTCTGCTCTCATCCGTCTCCCCAGACACCTCAAAGGACAGCAGTCGCAAGAGCAGTGTAAGCATGGATGAGAATGAGGGTTGTTAGCACCCCCTACTGGAACACTCCTCACCTGCATTTTCAGCCCCTCCACCTACTGCTACAAGTCAGTGGCAAACACACTTTGAGCTGCTGGAAAGGCTTTCTTCTGTTTGTTGTCCTTTCTCTGTTTGTTTTACTCCTCCTCTCTCCCACCTGTGTTTACACGTATTGAATCTTTTTCCAAATTGTTTGTTTGTTTTCTCGTGTTATGTCTTTTCAAGCCCTTGACCCTGATTTCAAGGAATGATTTTTTTTAAGTGTTTGCTTTAATCAATACTTTGATGACAATGAGTTACAAAAATAGAAGTTTTTATATTTAAAAAAAAAATGCATTTATCTTTGGATAGAGGCTAGATTATCCTTTTTTTCTATTGATTCCAAAGAATCTAGGGAAATTATAAATCATGGTCAGAAATGTAGATATTTTGTGGTGAGATAAGCACTGCTTTTTAAATCAATAGCAATAATAGAAGGAAAAAGATCTATTTATTACTATAGTGCTTTACACTCTGTGTGTCTTAGATTGAACTTGAATGTGCCAATGCCTTATTAAGATGTGTATACATCGTTGTCGTATTGCTATGCACGTGTTGGCTGTTAGAGTCTTTGTCAGTCTTCCAGTTGAAATTTCTTGCTTGACAAATATGAAATCATCTGTAGATTATATAAATACACACGCGTGTGTAAACAAGATGTTATGAATACATTCCCCTTAAAGCTAATTTATTACATGGAGCCATTATTAATAAATGAAAGCACATTTAAGAAATGAATAAATAAAAGCTAGAATCTCTCTTTTAAGATAATTACAATGAACTCATTACACGAGAATAATTTTAGTCTTTTATTCGGTGTTATACATTCACCACACACTCTTTAACTAGCCAGTGCCAATTACAGACCCAGTATGTTACCAGTACATTCCTCATTGCCAAAACTGCCAAAATACCCCCAAATTTGTCTCAAAACTAGTAGAATAAAAATAGGCTATAAATGGTCTGACAAGAAGCTGTTGTCACTTGATAGCTCTAGATTTCTTAATTATAGAAATCTTTTTTTTTTTAATCTAATAGATGTTAGTCAATTATTGTAATGGTTTTTTTTTTTATCTTTAGTGATCAGACAGACACAACTGGTTAAACTTAGAGTATCCCAGCACAGACTCCATACTGTAATACTGCAGACCTGTTAATCTCAGATTTTTACAAATTTCCATTGATTTCCTAAATTATTCTGTGGGGTTTTTTTTATATACCACATCAGTGACATTTCACATTCAGGACATTTTTTTTCATGATGTGAACATTTATATTGCCAAGGAGTATAAGGAGACTGCTTTGGGATTTTGTATGAAATGCGTGACATTGTCAAAACACTGGAATGACTTCTGATAATTGAAACCTGGTTTGTTTGCCTGTCTTTCTTTTAAATCTGAGCACAAACTAACTATTTCAAATGCATACAGAATCTTGTGAAAAGCTGTGGATTCTTGGATGGTTGTTGTATATTTCCACAGTTTGTTTTGAACAGTTCTAGCATGTTCCATAGGTATGCCTTTTTAATAACCACCTGCCATATACTACGAGCCCTGTTGCAGCACAGCCTCCATTTTGTCAAACTATGCAATGGTTAAAGTTGTGCCTGTAAAGCAGCATCATGTCTTCAAAGGGGTTTCTCTTTATGAATGAGTCTGAAATGGTGTCGAGGCAATTATCTTTTCATTTAAGTGCCTTAAACTTGTTTTGGTTTTTTTACCCTGAAGATGGAAGAGAAGGAAAAAAAATGTTTTGTTGATGTTTATATTGGTGTGTGGAGCTTCGTAGAGCTACACTACAAGTCCCTCAAACAAAGGAACCACGAGTATTGTTATTATGGAACGCCAAAGTGTTCAACATTAAATAAGGAAGTAAATTAGGAAATAAGTCATTATAAATGCAGAGTAAAATATATAAGTAATTAATAATTATACCCTGACATAATATTTGAAATAGTGTTCTGTATTATTATCATTAATTACTTAGTATGTTGATTGACTTAGAAATCTACTGACTTCTTCAACCGTTGACTCCACTCCACTGAAGTTGGGTCATGGTAGCAGCAGTCTGAGCAGGCGATACCTGATGTCCTTTCCCCAGCAGAGCTTACCAATTTCTGCTTGGTATCACCAAGGTGTTTCAAGGCTTAATAAGATAAATAATCCCTGGTCTGCCCAAGGGTCTTCTCTCAAATGGGTGTACACAGAAAACCTCCAAAGTGAAGCTCCCAGTAGATGTCCAATCCACCCCAACTGCTTCATCTCAACATCTCTGAGTTCCTTCCAGATATCCATACTCATCATCCTGTCTCTAAGGCTGAGCTCAGCCAACCATACTTTGCTTGCAAATACAGATCTAATACAGATCTGGTTGTTAACTACCAAAGTAACCTCTATAAGTGCAATTGGCGAGCCTTTCTTCAAGAGTGCCACCAGGTCCTTAGGTTGCTACTGCAACAGGCACCAATGACCTTTTGAGCAGAGCTAATGCCAGCCACCTTTGCAGTAGAGGCTTTGAATATGAACAAGAATGAGCTGCTGAGCCACTGATTCTTATAGTGGGGAACCTGGATGATCAGGGTAATATATACAGTGAATATATTCACACGATTTCTGTAAGGAAAATAATCAAAGATGGCTGTCATGCTAACCTTCTAGAGTGGTTTGTTTTTTTTCGCTACCAAAAAAACATGGCCACTAATCCCAGTCAGGCATTTACCTGAAAGTGTCGTTGTGCAGTGCTACAGGTTCACAAAGCCAGTAATGATGCTGTAGACTAATAGTGTTATTATATTTGACTTATTTATATACCTATGATTAATATTCAAATACTATACATATTTATGTAGTACCGAACACTTTGGAACTCCATATTTTTAGCTCTTCATTTTATTTTTTTCAAATGACATTTTACACTGAAGGCAGTGTTTCTTAGGTTTCTAGGTGACAACTTTGAATGTAGGTCTCAGTAATAACTGCCAAATTGTGTGCCACATGAAGGCAATACATTTCTACAAAGACACAACCTGCAAAACAAAGCCACCTTTCTTAGTGGTGTTTAACCTCTTTTGTTTTAAGCAATATATGGATCGTTACCCAAAGGTTATATGTAAAATGCAAATAAGTACACGGTTAGAGTTCAGTCTTGTATGTGGAAAGAACATTGTAGAGAATATGACTCAAGATTTACTCAACAGCAGCTCAGCTATCTTACAGTGTTGCCATCCAATGAGGATGCTAACTATGAAATCCAAGTTCTTGAACAAGCTGAGAAGTGAACCTTGAGTTAATGTGTTGGTTTGTTTGGTTTTTTTGTCATTGATGAAGCTTCAGTGGACTGTAGATTGTTTCTTATGGTGACACAGGTCCAGGGACTGATTCGAAACAGTACAACACCCACATACCTGTAACATGGATCTGTGGCTAAACGTAGAACAGATAAATTAAATAACCCTAAAATGTGACTGTAAGAAAAGATATAAACATTACACTATGTGGTGGCAGTTACTTAAAGCTGTCACTTAACTCGTTTCTCATAATGACTCTCTGAGCTGTAAATTGTTATGGCATGTTATGGATAAACCACTAATGAAAAACTATGGTATGTTAGCTCAATTTAGGCCTTGTCTTCTAATTGTCATTCCTGTGGTTCATACAAACAAAGTTCTCTGCTGATGTTGCTACTGTTCTTATTGTTACAGTTTATAAGAGATGAATGTAGCAGTAGTTACTGTACCCACTGGTTTCAGATTAGTGAGCTCAAACTCGATGGTACTCAATGTGGAAACTATCTTGTGAGAAATATTAAAAGTTTTATTTGAATGTTGGTGGAGTTTGCCTTTATTTCGCTCTCGATACTAATTATACTTATTATAATTTATTATAATATAATAAACTCACATAAACAAACATCTTTGGTTTGTGTTCAGTTTTACTCATTTACCTAATTTACAAAGATTCAGTCATTTAGAATGCTACACTTTCAATTAAAAGGGATAATGCAACACAGTAAGTTTAGTTAAACACATGTATATTTTTTATAAGATAAAGTCCTCTTCTGTATATACAAAAATTATTGCATTGCTTTTGATATTTTCTTTTTTTTTATTCTGCCAACTGCTTTTTGTAGCTTTTGCATTATATTATGGTGTGTTATAAACCATTAACTAAAGTTGAGTTGAATGACCAGACGACCTGCTGAGTTCAAAATGAGCATCAGAATGGGGAAGAGAGGCAATTTAAGTGATTTTGAACATGGCATGGTTGTTGGTGCTAGAAGACCTGGTCTGAGTATTTTAGAAAGTGATAATCTGCTGGAATTTTCCCACACAACCATGTCTGGGGTTTACAGAAAATGGTCTGAAAAAGAGAAAATGACCAGTGAAAAGCAGTAAAATTGCCTTTTTGATGCCAGAGGTCAGAGGAGAATAGCCAGACTGCTCTGAGCTGATAGGAAGGCAAAAGTAACCCAAATATAGCTTGTTACACCAGGTGCCACTGTTGGCAGCTAAAAACGGGAAACTGCAGCTACAATGCAGACAGACTTACCAAAGTTACATAATAGAAAAATAGAAAAACATTCCCTGATCTAATCTTGTGTTTAGCCGTGACACTCGGGTGGTAGGGTCACAATTTGGTGTACAAAACATAAAAGCATGGATCCACCCTTCCTTGTATCAACAGTTCAGGCTGGTGCAATGATGTGGGGGATATTTTTTTGGCACACGTTGGGTCTCTTAGTACCAACTGAGCATTGTTTAAATACTACAGTCTACCTAAGTATTGTTTCTGACCATGTCCATCCCTTTAGGATCTTTTGATGTCTGCCTCAAGTAAGATAACACACCATGTGACCAAGCTTAAATCAGCTCAAACTGGTTTCTTGAACATGGCAATGAGTTCACTGTACTCAGTGGCCTCCACAGTCACAAGATCTCAGTCCTGTAACCCTCCTTTGGGGATGTGGTGGACATGCAATTGAGAAATCAGCAGCAGTTGTGTATCCATATCATGTCTATATTGTCCATATTGTCATGTAAAATTCATTTGTCTCCTGATGAAGAAAGCTCATCAGTCCATTTCTTGTGGGCTTGGCAAAGAATTCCATCACCAATCATACCATGAAAGATTTCTACAAAATAAGAAAAAAAAGACACGCTAATGAGCATGCTTTATGTAACAGAGAGAGTGTAACTTGTAATGTCAATTGATTATTAAAAGAAAAATGTTACTATATATTATTTTACCTGCAGTTCCCAATCCTGTGGGAAGAGGCATCCTCAGAGAGCCAGCAGAGTGCTTCAGACGCTCCTTAAGGGATTTCTGCACCAGCTCCAGAGTGCAGTCCTGGTGCCACACAGGAAGCTCCAGACTCAGCATGCATTGGATAATACGATTCTTCTCATCTACTGTGAGAAGTCCCTTTTGGACGGCCACATATACCATGAAGGACATATCGATGTTGACTGCCTCTCCGTGAAGCAGTGCTGGCAATATTCTCTGTGCAAAACATGGAGGTTACACTTAATTGTGTGCAGATAATCTCCAAAAAGTAACTGCTAATAAAATAATATCTAAATACGTTTACTCTGTAACAGTAATTCACATTTAAAGTGAACCTATTATGCTTTTCTTTTTCATCACTTGGGTTGCTATATGCAAACCCTTAAATAAGGATTATTTTGAGCTGTGAGTTTTACAAAGATACTATAAAAGACTCCAAGAGTAGAAGATATTGAGCTGGAAATTAACATAGTAGGTCCCCTTTAATGAGTGAATTCATACTCTCAAATATTGCTACAGTATTGTTATAGAATATTGTTACAATAGAAAATACTACTTGACCATTTCTAACTCTGGGCTGATGAGGTGACCAAAATCCACCAGCCTGTCCAGATCATCCTCCCACAAGTTAGGAGCCAGTTCCTCAAGCATGGTTTCTATAGCGATGCGGATGATGGCTGTGGCGCTGTCTTCCTGTTCAGGCCTGGTCTTGCAAACCTGCAGCTTGGTATGCAGCAGTTTCCTGCCCTCAGTCTCCATCAACTCAAACAGGCCCCGGTGCTTCATCAGAGCCATCTAAAGTGTATCAGTAGAATAACACTTAATAGCTGGCAATAAGTGAAAGAGAAGACACACACTCTATTCTAAACTGGAATATCTAATAATAAACAATCACATGCATTGCATTGTTGTACTGTGGGAAAATGAATTTCAAAGATTCCCTCCAGACATGTTTAATAGATATAAAAGTATTTAATAGAAATACCAGATAAAACTTTCTTAAACAGTAAGCTGAAATCTTCTACATCACTGAAAGTATCAGAATGTGTGAACCTGTTCACATAATTTTCTTTCTCTTTTTTTTAATCCTTTAACTCAGTTTTAAAATAAGCATGAAGAAATCTTACCCCTGCGGAGCTGCACATACCATATCTGTCTGCACAGCATTGTGTGAGCTCCTTTGAGTGAAGGAACAACAAACAAAGCACATTTTTTGTGGGTGGGGGTGTCTTTAGTTTTTTCTTTTTTCCATGCTTCACAGCACACGGTGATAGACAGACACTAAAAACTATGAGGACTTTCAGGTTTAAAAGGAGCTGGCTTTCAGTAGCATGGGCACTTAAAGTTGTATATCTTATTAGGGATATTTTAAAATGTAGCAGCTTAAATCTAGGTTTTTGTGAGTAAGTAAATCCAGTAAACACTTCTGTGGTTAAATTGTGGTTACAAGAGGGTTAGTTGCAATGAGCCAAATGTCAAAACATCCAACTATGACGCTTGAATCAGCTTTGTGTATTCTGTGTCCAGATGAGAAAATGGTAGTATGCATTATTGATGAGCAAAAAAAATAAATTCTGAATAATATCAAAACACAAAATCAGTGGGAAAAATGAATTTAGCATTATCTCTTAAGAACAAGCACCATTTTCATTTCCAATATTGACAACAAACTTGCAGCAAGGGAAGTATCAGCTGTCTTATTGATACATTTCAGTGCTTTTTGGAATACTGTAGAAGTTGTACACAACTATTATCTTGTTTGCAAATAGTATGGATCTTGTTCTCGCCAGTTATTACTTCCTGCCCACAAAATATTAAAAGTCTGACACCAAAGAAGATCAACAACAATGGCTTGAACAATAAGATCATTCTACTGTGAGCTGCAAGCAAATTACATACATTTAGGAGTTAATGGGCTGATACATGCAAGACCATCAGGAAACTCATTCTCTTGATCAGCCATCATGCAGCGACGAGCACCTTTAACATCTCTGCCATCCCATTAGAGATCTGACGTGGTGGGAGAGTTTGGAAGAATGAGCAGTCTAAGAAGGCTGCCACTGGTGGGACATAACTTCCCAGCTTGTTTTTCCCGCCGGCAAAATTGACTCCTGTTTTTGCCCCTACACTTGCGTCGATATAAGAAAGTAGAGTGGTCGGCACTCGAATATACGGGGTCCTTCGGCGATAGAGAGATGCCGCCAAGCCCACCACATCCAGACAAACTCCACCGCCGATGGCTACGATTGGCTCGGAGCGTCTGTCGATACCAAACTCATGAACTTCCTCCAGGATCTTGGTCACTAACTCCATACACTTGTTCTCTTCAGTGGTGGGCAGAGGGAGAATCTTGTAAACGACCCCTCTGGCTTTAAAGTACTGAGAAACCTGGGAGCCATACAGCTTATTGACATTTTCATCAATGACAACAAATCGCTTCGGTGGTTTGCAGTTACTTAAGGTGTGTTTAAGTTCTTCTTCTCCTAAGTGACCCCAGAGCAGTGTGTCATTCGTGGGATCCAGTATGTTTTTGCACTGAATAACTCTGTAGGTGAACACAACAGGGCTGACCACTGTCCAGGAAACCCCATGTTCTGACTTGTTCTCATAGCTAGAGATAATTTCACAATAAAGTTAAAAAGAAAAAAGAAAAAGAAGGGAAAAACATTTACTTGCCTCCATTCAAAACACCTGCTAGAATACTAACCTATACCTTCCATTCAATACAAATTTACACTTCTACCTCACTTTATGTGGGTAAATACTGTTATTTACTTGACTTATTTTGTTTGAAAGCTGAAGTTACATTTTGTATAAAAGCAAATGTGTAACATTACATATTAACACAATAATAACCACCATTCTGCAAATGAATGCATTTATTTTTAAATCATTTAAAAATCAGAGGTTTTGACTTCTAGTTGCCCTACGAAGCAGTGTATTACTTGAAGTACTATCCCAGTGACATGTGGGAATAATGCACAAAGAAGTATTTCAATGTGCAACTACAACTGCAAAATATTTACATTTTACAAAGTGCCCCAACTCCTTTAGAATTGAGATTGTGCCACAAAAACCAGTGGATTTAAATAATGCAGGACTAAAAAGTCTTTGGAAAATAGCTTTGTAAATGTTTTATGATGAAGGAAATGCATGCAAGACCTAAATAGATTAGACCTCAAACATACACCCACTGATGAGTAAGACCCAATGTAAATGTGGCTTTTTTTTTAATGAAAAAACTCCAAGTACATTTTGTTTTGCAAATGTTTTTGTCTGTGTTAACAAGAACTGTCAATGCAGCACTTTGACAAGTCAGTATTGTTACATTTACTCTTAAAAACAAACTCAATAAACAACTATCAAAGCTGCTTTTTCTAGAGCTGCTTTTGTTATTGCCTATAATAATTACTCTTTAACCTACGTCATTAGCGCTAAAATCTGGTTTGACCAGCTTTAACTCTAAGTGATAACACAATCCAGCTACTCTTTCATTCTGACTAATAAGGTGCTGCATTCTGGTTGGTGTAATGAGGTGTTATAACATTGTTATAAATGAGACTCATCTACTTCAGTGTAGTCTGAACGGCAAAAGAAAAACAAAGAACTATTGCATGTGAAAACAGAAAAACCTCTTTAAAATTTTGAGCTTGTAGTGTTGAGAAAATATCATTTCAGGGCCTTAAAAGGTCTTCTTCCACCACTGCTGTACATATTTTACATGGGTGACTGTAGCTTAAAATAGAAAGGCATTTCACTGCTCCATGGAGAATGCTAATCAGCATATAGTCAAAGAGTATAAATAGTGAACATACAGCATGACCGATGAGCACGAATATCTTTTAAATCATTATTTGTTTTTAAAGATCTGAGATTTTTCAGCAAAGTTTTTTAGTTTGTAAAACAACCTGATTAAATGTATTTGCCAATTACGGTTGGCAACTTGCCTGCTCCTATTGCACGTCACTGAGATATCAATAATTTTCCATTCTATACTTACATTTTAGCATCTGATAACTTTCCCTCTGCCAGCTGGAACTGGTCACTTTGTCGAATCCATGTTCCCTTCACTTGAACAAGATTAAACTTAGTTTGTTGTGAACAACTGGAGTTGTTATTTGAAATCATGTTCCCAGAGTCCCAGGCTGCCAAGTGTCTTGAGCCTACCGTACTATGTCTTTATTCATGCTAATGGCATACAGGGCGTCAGTGTGGAGGACATTACTCAACATAGCGTAAACCCCCACCCTACACTCCTGCATGCTGGACTGAGTCTCATGTTGGCATTTGGTTACTCGACTGCGTGGGGTGAGCATGGGATCAACTGAGGGCTATTTTCTTATTTTATTAATCTAACCAACTCTATTTTGGGGTGAGAAAGCAGTTAACAACTTGATGAATGTGATGACTCTAAAGAATGTTTGTGTCCACAAGTCTGCAAGTCAAAAATTCAAGGCAAGAGAGATTTTTTTAGCATGCCTCTTACATTTACATACCCAGCTTTGTAAGTTCTCCTGTATCCTGGCAGGCACCACAGCAGTTACAGTCCATTTGTTTGAAACTGCCCCCCTCCTCTGGATGGCATGATATATTTGTGCATGGGAAAATCGTGGCTCAGACATGTACCTTTTACAGAATAGCCTAATTACCTCACGGAAATGACAATGGAGACAGGCAAACGTAAATGCTCCAAAGCAACCTGTTGGAGAAAAAAAAGTAAAATATAACAAAGGAAATTCAAAGAAGGTATGTAAATTGCACGGTAGGAAATTACACCCTTTGAAAGTTGTTTCTACTGCATATCTCACCACAAACCATTGCCCCAATTACAATTTTAATAATTAACAACAGTTTCAAGCTGTTTAATTACAGCAACCATTCTTCCTTTAGTGCTACATAATCACTCTAGTGTCAGGCAAGTATGAATCATCAGAAAAAAAAAAGACTGCTGCTGCTGAACTTGTCAGAACACGGGGAAAAGCTGGATCCACCCCTTTTTCTGCCACCCTAACTTTTCTCCAAACTGGTGCCAGATTACATATCCCACTCACCAACTTGCCCAACGTCTTTCCTTAAAGACCGCCCATCACAGGTGTGTTTCCTTTCGAGAAAGGATATAAAGAACAGAGGAAAGGTTTTTAATGCACAAACAATACAACTGTAAAACCATTAATAGGTTTTACAACCTACTAGCGAAGTTATTCTATCAGGCAGTTTGCAATATTCAAAGCGCCTGGGAGGTGCCATTTAAAAGTATATAATAGAGAACAATTGCTCAGTAGGACTCAACAAGCAACAGTTCATTTGCACTCTGTAATTTGGCTCAACTTTGCTGGGTTGAGTAGGTGATTAGGGACACTCTATATACTGTGCAGAGTCAAAACACTCCTTTTGCCACATTATTCAGTCATTCATTTAATGTCCTCACTTTATTGTTGGCATTTGTAAAAAAACAAAAATGCAAAGCACTGTTTCAGCAATGGCACAAGGGGCTCTATAACAAAGTTGCATGCTGTTCTTGTTAAAGGTGATTACTGGTATGTGCTGGTATTAATTCAACCAGTGGTTTAATCTGTAGTATCTTCATCTGCAGGCCCTCTAAGTTTGAGCACATCGAGTACATCATAATGTACACACACACACACACACCTTGTGACAACACTCTTGATCCATCAGTAACTTCGAATCAAGAAGCAGTGCAACAAATCTGTGACGGCATACGGGACCAAACATCAGTTCAGTTACAGTATTACATCAACGGAAGGTCAACAAAAGCCACTTATCTAACCCCTTCATTTATTAAGTAAAGAAAGACAAGACTTGCATAAAATGCTCTTTTATGCAACATTTATTATCTTGCCTCAACCAGTGTTTCTAACACTACATTGGTTTTTGTAAACAACACTTGCTTATAGTATGCACTTGCATATATTTAAAACTGACATATCACAATACTACAGTTAAAAAAAAGTGTTCTTACTGCTGAGAAGTTGAGCTGTCAGCGTTTGAAAAAAAAAAATGCACCTAGCTTTAATTTTTGCATGTGAAACAATAAATTCTTCCCAAAATAACAATCAGAAAATCAAATCAAAGACACATACATTATTCACATATATCATGAGGAATTTATTATTCATAGAGATGCATTGGTTTACAATAATGGTAAATCTATAGTATCTACTCTTACAAGCTCAGTTAGAGCAAATTTCAATGTTGATGGAAGAGGTGAAAAAGACCAACAAGTATAAAGACGCTATGTGTTCCTTTGATCATTTGATTATACCTTAAATACAAATATATCAGATCATGTTGGCAGTGAACATTTTCATTTTTAAAGCAACATTTTTTTTTTTATTCCTCTACAAATTTTTATATACTATGACTACTAAAATAAAATCAGGTAGTGTGGCCCCAGCATAGCATTAAGTAGCTATAAAGAGTAGGACTATCATTGTGAAGTGCTTACTTCAGCCCCTTTCAGACATGAACCATTAACCTGACGGCATGTTAACATGTCAGCTTCATCTTCGTGTGAACATCTTGGTCACTTTTCTGTTGTAGTCACCACTGCAGTCTAGAGGTTGGACTAAATAACATTTACGCATTACTTTGAACACAGTGGAAGGTTGAATTCATTCAGTCATATTAAGGTTTAAGAATGCACAATTAATCAAGATAGTAGTGGTAATGCAACTAGAAACCATTTACCAACTGTTATTAAACAACTAAAATTTAAAAAAGGAATGCACTATTAACTCCCAGACAGAAAAAAAAACAAAAAAAACGTGAGTGACATGGCGGGATTAGATGGTACTGTGCAAACAAGAGAAACATGCAAAGCCAAAGATGACTACAAGGTCTGCCCAGCAAAACTAGCATGTCATAAGTCTGCCGCAAACATGCACAGTCATTGTGGTTGGGGGTGACTGTTGAAAAGTAGTCAAATAGTTTCTAAAGAAAACAGAGTGATATTTTTGCTGAAAATGGCCCTATGCAATAAACAAGGATATTTTTATATGCCTAGATTTTTTCCTAATGAAAAATGAGACACACACACACACACACACACACACACACACACACACACACACACAC